TGTGTGTTGTGTGTGTGTGTGTGTGTGTGTGTGTGTGTGTGTGTGTGTGTGTGTGTGTGTGTGTGTGGTGCGTGTGAGAGAGTGAAATAACATGTTCTCTAAAACTATAAACATTAAATTGTAAAATACAATGATAAACATATTTTGTAGACTAATAAAGGGATAGTATAACAAATGAGATCTAATAATAACAGGTATAAGAACAACTTACTTTAATGTGATAATTGACTTTCTATCCTATAAATTGTTTTATGCAGAACCATTTATCTGTTGTAGTGATTGTAAATTGTGACAATATGCTTCTTGTGTATTAGGCAATATGTTGACGTATTGTTGTTCAGTGGTGTGATGTCCACCCTGTTATGTTCTGTCCACCCTGTTACCTCAGTGTTTTTTATGTTAATCAAATAAGTTCAACAAATGTTATGCATATCTTTGTGGTTACTTGTAGGGAATTAAATGGTAAAATGTAATAATTTAAAATGGGGCCAAAATTCTATTAAAATTTATTTTAATTCTAAAAGAAATGTGTTGAAATTACACTGTGCCTTAAAATACAACAACTTTTTTTCAAGATAATGCCCGTTCATGAACACTCTGTTAAAATACATTTGCAGGGTAAAGGGAGGGACATTTTAGCTCTTATAAAATGTAAATATTACAATAACTGTGCATTCAAAACACTTATTAATTGAGATGAGAATGTCCTGTAACAGGGTGGACATTTGACCCTTGCATGTGTGAAGAATTTCGTGAAAAATTATTAAGGAATAATAACCTGAGCTGGACCAATATATTTTTTCTTGTGGTATAACAAGCCCTTCTTCAGAAAAAAATTTTAAATCATGGAAATGTAAACTTTTTTGATAGAAATTTACCAAGCTGAAATTGCACTGAATCGTGCTTAACTGTGTTAAACTGTAGTGTTATTTGAGTCTAGTGTTTGATAAAGTGAAGATAATAGCCTATGAATGATATGGGGTTTATGGAACATAGTTAGTAGACCGACATGTTGCATCATCTCTGAAATATTAAAATAATATATTTTTTGTATATTTGAATGTATAAATGTTTTATTCATGGTAACTGTTAGTATTGTGTCTTACAAAAAAAAAGATGCTTTGGGAGCTTGCTTTGATGTTTCATTCGTGTTTAGAGTTTAGTTCTTGCTGGTTTAAACTACAAAATGTATCTGAATGCAGCATGCCTGTCAGTCATAGTAACATGAGACACACCTGGGTTTCATGTCCATCTTTGTTATCAGTATTAGTAACCTTCATGGCATCACACCATATCACCATCTGCAGATCGGAAGTTTTTCCACACAGACAAACAGTTCAGATTATTCTGCAATGAGTACCTAATGCCAACTTAATACTGCAAAGGTGACACAGAGGATGCATCTGTAGCAGCAATAGTTACATTTACACAGACAGTTTAATGTTGCAGAGGCACCATAAATGCATTTACACAGGGTTTACAATTGTTGAAATACTTGATGAAATGATTGTTTTAAATATGATGTTATATCTATGAAAACATGAATTCATGAATGAAAATAGATCCTCTTTCATAAATCTTCTGAATTTATCAGGATGGAGAAAAGTCCAGTAAGACTAGCTAACTACAATGCAATTAACAGTGATTTGTGGTTTAGCATAAGCAGAGTTTCACTTGTGTTTTGTGACAGAGGGTCTGATGATCTGTGGATCACCGTGTGGCAGCATAAACTACATTAGGCTCCATCTCCTTCAATCTTCTTACTGGTCTTCTGTTCTTCTTCTTGTCTAAATTTAGAGCTGCATAGTTCAAGTCTGCATCTTGCTCCTGGCAATAAAAAAAATGCAAACATATTAATGTGCTCTGCTCAGCCACTTAAAAAAAAATATTTATATGGGCCTGTCATTTACCATTTATGAATCTCAGCACAAATCAAATGTATAACCTGTAAGTTAAACAATATTTTGATATGAGATACAGTACCTGCTCCAACTGTTTGTTCATCTCTTCATTGTTTTCACGGTGCTGGGCATCTAAACACAACAAGACAGTCATCATTATTATTTGCCGTCCTAAGGCAGTAGTTATCATTTATGGAGATATGGTAATATCATTATTAATACCAGAATTACAGACACATAAAATAATAAGTTAATCTAACAGTTAAAGGTTTTTGCCAGTGTATTTACTATTCTATATGTGCTAGTGCATTGTTCACATGCCTTCTTTTTGCTTATTTCTTTCCTTCAACCTGATTAAGATTAGAATCGCTAAAACAGTGGGAAGCAAAACCAAGCCGCTTAAGATCAGTGTCAGTGTATAATAGACATGGCAGGATCTCAAAGTTTCTTCAGTCGCCCCTGTTAAAACCGTTCAAAAATTAAATAAGGAGAGAAGGGGCAAGAGAGAGAGAACAACATTATTGCTGTAATATCTAGGGGAAAAAATAATGAAGAAGAGACTAATTTAGCTTAAAATGCATGGCACATACCACAATCCACATTTGGTATATCTCCTTTGGACTGACTAGTCTCTTTGAAAACAAAAATAAATACAAAATAATTAGTAGTAAGTGAATAGCAACAATACTGAATATAAATAATGCTGGAATAAATAAATGATATAAACATTAAATGAAAATATAAAATATTACCATTTACCACTAACTGTGTTTTGTCGTGAAACATCATGTGGTTTGTCAAAAAACTTCCACAGTAAAAAATTCCAGAGTCAGAGACATCCACATTTACAATCTTCAAGGAAGAAAATGTTTTGTTCACTGACATCTCTACATGATTCTTCTTAAAGCCATTAAAATATATTGAGTCCACTGGGTTTACACTCACATATTGAGTAGCAATGCAAAGTGGCAGAGAATCATTTGTCTGCTTGAACCAGGCTATGTAACTGGGCTCTTTCAAGATGTTTGAACACAAAAGAGTAACAGTAGTTCCAATGTTCACAGTTTTCACGAAAGTTAAAGATGCTTGTTTTACAAAGATGACACCTGAAAATAATAAATAATGTTATAAGGAAAAAAGTGAAAGACATCAATTTAGATTCAAATGGAAGAGGAATTTTGCATTTTCATTGCATCTAAACATTGTGTTGCACCATGTCAAAAATAACTGTGCATGGCACAATGTTACAACGTATGTCTATGATTTATATCACTATCTTCTGTGGAACTCAAAACAAAATATTATGAAGACGGTTGGTGTCCAAACAACATTGGAGGTCTTTAAAAGATTGTATGAAAAAAAAACCATCACAGAATCATAGAATTAATTTTTGGATGAACTATCCCATTAAAACTGAGAAGGAACTAAATGAATGTAATGTATAATCATAAGATTAACAATTAAATGACAAAGCAATGGGAAATTAAATTATATAAACAGATTTTGTAGAACATTTACTATATCATATTGTATATAACACGTGGTACAGTACAGTATAGTAGCTATACATTGTTATATATTACTGTATATTTATTCAATTCATGGCAAACATTCTCATTCTGTCATTGTCCCACATTCTATAGCAAACATCACAAAAGTTTATTTACCTATTAAAAAGAGCATCAGAGGATGTGTTGCAGACAAATTCATGTTTACAAATGTTGTGGGCCATCAGAGTTGGCAAGCTGGTAGGTCTACATAAATAGCAAATTGTCAAAAAGATAAAGACGTTTTTTTATTGTTATTTATATAATATTTATTCTACATAAATTAGGAAACCCATAATGAGTAGTGCAATAGCTGTAAGTAAAATATATATGTTGGCTACTAGCTAAATAACAACATTGTGAACAGTAAGTGAAGTCTGTGAATACATCATGTTTTAGAGCATCATTAAATAAGTTGCATGTGGCTTAATTTGTTTTTTAGAGAGTATTTTGATTGTAGACCAACAACACCACAAACTGTGTGGCTGTGTTTGAGTAAAAGCAGCCTCTCATCAAATAAAGTGTCAGGGGTTAGAAACAAAGAATCATTTCCTTTAGGGAGTGACAGGAAATAGCAGTTCAGTGCAGAACGAGTCCTGGTGAAGTGAACTTCAGCAGACCAACACTCACTGATTGAGCTTTAGTTCAGTTTTAGGTTAGCAATAGTTGTTTCATTTTTATTATTTACCACTACATTAGTGATAACTGTTATATGCAAATCTAAACGGCACTAAAATTATGACTGATTGTTTTAAAGTATCACAGGTGTGTCGAAAATTGAAAGGCTGCAATT